GTTTATTTGGGATGGGGCCATGAGTCATCTATGGGCTCCCCCACACAACCAATCAAAATAAATTAAACTGAAAGAGGGCGGAGCTTTCTAGCAAAATTTCATTACATCCAGAGACTCTTGCCTATTGATCACTGGGTGTGGCTTTGGCAGTGCAACCATTCAGTCTTGGGAGGGGTATTAGGTGGTTGCCAGACCATGGCAGCAAATTGTCAAAGGGAGAATCCTGCTTTTCCAGCTGCTCTGTAATTCCATCTCTTTAACTTGGAGGACTGAAAAGGCAAGGCTTGGACTGCAACAGTGTTCATTGGCCTTTGGGATTCAAACAATATGGCTGACAAGAAGAGGGTATTTTGATTCATAATTGTCCTGGGTCTGTTTTGGGGTAAAACTGCCTCCTTCTCCTCTGCTAGTACTGACAGAATTAGTAGGTTCAACACAACACTGTATCTTTCTTGGCTGTGTTATATAAACCAGCCAACAGTCTAAATTCCTTTTACAGAACAACATTTGAGAATCTCACTGTAGGGAACATGGAGCCATCATCTGGACAAACGGTGTGATTACATTTCTGTATCATTTTCCAAATAGGTAGCCATGTTAATCTTTCACAGCAAATTCAATAGAGAACAGGGCCACCAGAACTGAACAGTAAACAGCTAGACAACCACGACTGGGTAGCAAAGCGTTAACATTTTCTATATCTCTAGATGCTCTGGTGGTTATTTGGATCTTGCAGTCCAAGTCTGGTAGCCCCAAGAACCTCTCCTCATATGACCCTAAAGGTGGCACAGTCATGCCCCAGCTATTGTTTTGCTTTGTGCTATTCCCCATAACGTTGCTTTCACCTACTGCTCAAGCCCCACCAGAGAAAGCCTTAACTGCTGACTCATACAGTGTGGTTTCTGAGGACATAATACAGCAGCTTAAAAAAACAACAGCACTATGTCTGAATCCTATTCTATTTTTTTCAGGTGTTTAGAAACTAACACCCGTTTGGGTTGCTGTGCTTTCCTGCTTGCTTTTCTTGTACTGATTTCAAGACTCATCCACAAAACCTGATCTGACACACCTTTAGAAATAAGTCCCAGGGAAATGCGAGCCAGATTGCCGCCATCATTCTGTATTTGGTTTATGAGCCTTGTTGCAGAGTGGCTTGTACAAACCTCCCAAGTAGAGCTGGGTGTGTCTTCCAGAGCGCCTTTGAAAGTGACTAATTTTTAACGTGGCAGAAGAGGAAAATGACTGAGCACATGAGGAGTAATAATATAATTTAAGTAATTGAATATAAATTAAATCATGTTTAGTTTTTGGCTAACCTCACCCACTTTTTGGAGGGTGGGCCCTGATATGTCCCTCAAAGTCCACATGTAGTTTTCAGATCAAAAAAGGCTATACACCAAAATTAAAGGCTTGGAAGGAAGTGCAGAACTGTGAAAAAGCTCACTTGGTAAGCTGAATATCTTCACTATTCTTCCCCTGGGGACTGTGATGACATGGGCACTGTTAGCCAGAGATGCCATGGTCTCATAGATCCTTTTGTTAATCTATTTGTTACAGTAGGTTATTCTGATCATTTCCATCCAGACATTCATGTAGAAAAAGACACGTTAGGCAGGACAAAAAGATGGTGTCTCTGGAAGTGCTATGCAGTCTCAATTTGCTACTGAGACATTTGGGAGAATCTTCTTTTGGGTCAGTGTCCTAACACAGGCATTGTTGGTCGATGTCACATTCCAGACTTTTACAACCTGGCATTTTCCGTATGTATTGAATTACAACAGCCATTATCTTCAACCAGCGTTGTCATATATCAATATGTTTGTGTATATCTGGCACTACAGGGGATTTTTGGACTGGAGGGTTTTAAGAAATGGGACAGCCACCTCTTGACCATGGTTGGTTTCCCTGCTTTTGGACTGGAGGGTTTTAAGAAATGGGACAGCCACCTCTTGACCATGGTTGGTTTCCCTGCTTTTGGACTGGAGGGTTTTAAGAAATGGGACAGCCACCTCTTGACCATGGTTGGTTTCCCTGCACATTGCAGAGGATTATGCTAGATTGTCCTTATGGTCCCTTCCGACTCCACCATTCTGTGATTCTATAGGATTGTATAACTTTCCACTGAAGGTTGAAGAGGCTGTGCCCCAGAAAAAACTTTACAAGATGAACAGCACTGAAGGAAGCATCTTCCCTATTGTACTAGCGGCTACACCAGTGTTTCTCAACCTTGACAGCTTTAAGGTGTGAGGACTTCAACTTCTAGAACTTCCCTTGCTGGCTGGGGGATTCTGGGAGTTGAAGTCCACACATCTTAAAGTTCCCAAGGTTGAGAA